AGATAAGCTGCATGAAATCCAAGCAAACGTAGACACCATCTTATTAACGTTACTATTGAAAACAGCTAGAATATTTTTGGAGCTTTTCTTCTAGACAATACAAATAAATACAAATAATTACTATAAGGTAGCTCAGCGAAAAATTAAACGAGACTTATGCACAAATCTTTACTCATTCCATCAAAATGAGCTTCAAATCCGTGTGTTTGCTTAGTGAAGAGACTTGCTGCTGCGTTGTCTTTGTAAATATGTGCCGACATTTTATCTCTAGTGTAGCCCATAGTATGGGAAGGACTTTGGTGTGAAGGACCTCTAAAATTTTGTCTTTTTTATGCAGTTGGTATCTTTCTAACTTCGATTTAATTATTAACAAGAATCTATCAAAATTTGCGATGGGGCTAATTCAAAGACGATGTTGAATATTAGGTTTGAGAATAAATAATATTTTTACGATCAAATGTTAGATAGCATCTTTTAGATATGCTGTAAGGTTCTTGAGATGGCCCACTTCTCAAAATAAATAGACATTCTATTTCACGAAATAACCATTCTATTTCATATATATACATATATATATATATATATATATAATTATTATTTATAAAAAAATTATAACATAAGTATGTTATAAAATCTTCAACATCATCACTTGATAAGACACCGAGTGTGTTGAAACAAAATGGCTATTTTTGTAGTGATTTTATAACATACTTATAATTTTTTTATAAATAATAATTATATCTGCTCTACTTTGTATTGAGCACTCTTTAAGAATAGTAATTGTTGGTTATTGGAATTCATTCCATATATACCAATTATACACTTGGATATATATATATATATATATATATATATATATATATATATATATATATATATATATATATATATAACAATAAAACGCAAAGGAAATATCTTTTAAGCATGTAGGTGAATTTCTGCTTAGATTGAATTAGTAGCGTGATATGAGTTGGAAAATTTCCGAAAGTACATGTTACTAGAATGAACTGTGAAAATTTCACGGTTTTTATTTTTGGATTTTCTGATGAATCATAATTCTTCAGTCAATGATTGAATAAGCTCATGACGATTTCTACGACAATAAAATATCCGTAGAAATCCCCTTATCAAGTACTTAAATATGTGAGCTTAACTTTAACAAAATATTGTAATAACAATCATAATTATGAATGCTGGTCGTTATTTTAACAAGTAAGTGGGTACAAATGAAGAGATTTGAAATTAGTAACTTTTCATTTCACTGAAACAACTATTAAACACTTCTGTCTTCTCTTCTTTTATTCTTTCTTTCTTTCTTTCTTATATCCTGTTTTTCCAGGTAGTCTAAAGGCAATAGGCCATTATTTATGAGGTACTTGCAGTAGACATTAAACATTTCCATCTTCTTTTCATTCTTTGTGGATAAATTCCCGTTTTTCGATAATTCTTCTTAATAATTTTAAAAGAATTCAGCAGGCGATGTTATTTTAGTCATGGTAACTGTTCTTTAGACGGTTTTCATTCTTCGATACTGCTCATCTGAAAAATGCAGGTTTTTTTTTTTTTGGTTTTGTTTTTTTTTTTATCGTTGTCGCCATCGTTTCCATGTTCTTCCCATTTCGCCTTACGCCACAAATTAATGTTGTTATATATTATTTTAATAAACATCGATTCTCGGCTTTTTGCATGAGATCAAAGTATAGTATCTGTTCTTATCAGGTTAATCTGATTATCTCATTTCTATCGAGCCTTCATTCTTTCACTTTCTGACTGAGAACAAATATCTTTTCCCCACTTTTCACTTGATCAAAACGAGGAATAGTTTATTATTTATGTGGTATTGGCAGAACGTAACGATCGTGCTAAGTAACGATGCGGGAGATAAGCACAATTATTGGCATGGTTGAACAGATGACATCAGCAAAGTCATATGAAATCTTTAATCATGCTAATCGAGAATATATGTATTAGATTTAGCAAATTCCAGTCGAATCCATTACATTCACTTACGTGCAAATACCCTTGGGAAAGGTATGAATCTTCTTCTTCTCCACTTCAAAATCTATGGGTTAACAGCAGGACAGACCGGGTTCTTTAGCCTTGGATGGTAACTGGTCTACCGCAGAAAGAAATGGCAACCTACTGCGGGAAAGAAATCTGCCTCGTCAGTCATGTATCGAAAGATAAATGATGGCTTCAGCGTGTATCACGCATGGCACATAACTATAAAAGTACATCATCATCATTATCATCATCATTTCTATGACCAGGTATGGTCTGGGGTTGCTGAGCATTTGACCAACTTCCGGCACAAATGTAGGTATACATTCATGCGTAGTAATGAAATGTAAAGTTGGCTTAGAACATCTCTAACCAGGTCAGGCAGGCCACAGGAGATGTCCGCCTACTTGAAGACTCGTGGCCGTTGATTCTGTCCGGGGAAACTGCCCGCCTTGGTCGTTGACTTCAGTCTAAAAAACCCTCTACCGCTGCGGTAGAGAGAAAAGAAGTCAATGCGGCTGTCGAGCAAATAAAGAAGACGTGTTGAACAGCAACAAGTGTTAATGCAGAAGTTTGGCTTAAAAGGACGATGCACCAAAACAGATGCATCAGAGTAGGAAAAGTTTCGAACTGGGAATTGTCCTAACGTTTTAGGTCCGTGTAAAGAATCGGCATCAGTGCAAGAAATAAACAGTCCTAATTAAAATGAACTTTTTATATCCAAGCCAAAAACGGAAATTCAAGCAAGAAGACTGGATATACTGGCCAGAAATAAGCGTAAATCATCAGCCAGATTGTAGATGGGACATTATCAGCAGACCAAAGGTCAATGCTTTGGTCCGCTGGTATTGAAGAACAAATGGAAAGTTATAAAATTCCATGGCTTAGCATAAAAACTGATGAAAAAAGCCCGCAGTACAATGAAACTTGGTGGTTTATTTAACAGCATATAGTCTCCTTATATGTCATTTAATACCGGAATTTAATTTTCTTGGGAAGTAATAAATATATGCTACATGTTATTCTGCTTTCACAGTTACATACATGGTAGAAGATACTCAGCTTTTGTTCATATACATGTTTGTGTGAACATAATTCCTAGAGGCGGTGATACGTGTATTTATGTTGTCGTTGTGTTGAAGTTATATTTTGGAATACAGGTTGATTTATTTAAGAGAATGTAGGATATTATGTGGATTAATGTCATGAAAGAGTTCTTTCATGTTGAGTGATGCATTGTTGGTAATTTTTTACTATAAATAGATATTATTGATAATTTTAATATGAATGGGTATTGCTGGAAAGTTTTACATTAAATGTGTACTTTTATAATTTCATAATTTTTTTTCCTGTTGGATGGTTACTGTTTGTCCAGATGCAACCATTCGGGATCATGATGGGTGTGAGAACAACAGCAATCAAGAGTTGATTCCAAGCTCTTAAAACCACCAATCTCCCGATCAGAGGCCTTACTGCTGGATGTAGTTTATTGTCATACCAATGACTTGATTAAACCAGAGATTAGACAAGAACAGTGCGGATTCGTTAAAGACATTGAAATAAGGAATGTAATAGTTATCCTTCAATGATATCACAAAATGTGATATAATCATAAAAGGATGTGTACCGGTGTTCTATTTATTATGCAGTTTGATAAATTACGTCACAAAGAATTGATGAAATAGCTAGGTAACCATACGATATTTGGAAATATTAATGGAATAAATGAATACCTCTCCTTGCAGTAAACTGTCTGCATAAAGATAGACTGTGAATTCAGTAAAGCTACAAAAATAGAATGGCGTATAAATCAACGATGCGTATTCACACCGGACTTTTTCATCTGATATAGTGAAGCGATTCTTTAAGAATTAGAAATGCTACCAGAATTCTTTATTAGCAGCCACAATCTTAACAACATATATTCAGATGACATAATGTTAATCGCAGAGACAGAAAAGGAAACAACAAGAATTCCAACAGATAGTAGTGAAAGAAAAGAGAAATAGAAATATCAATTGCATGAAGATAGAGTGCGTGGTCGTTAGCAAATGGGAGAATGTGGCACAAGGCCGAAAGTATGTGGCATCTAGTGTGGATCGAACTCACTTTTCAGTTGTAACTAATCAAGCGAGACAAGCTTGCTAACCATTACACCACGCCGAGGTGCTCGAATCCGAATAGTGAAATATGCCTATTAAAAGGTAAGCAAAGTACTACGAAGGAGAAAAATTTCATTGGAAAAAAGACCATTGAATTGTTATCTAATATCAGTCCTTCTATATGGAAGTTAATGCTAGATTATCTCCTCGCAGATGAAGGAGAGATTTGAACCAACATAATTGTAGTTCTACTGAAGGATCTACCGAACATCTAAGCAATGACGAAGTTTTAAAGAAAAAGAAAAAAAAAAGATATTTATACTCAATATCAGGAAGTGGCAGTTGAAATTTCTAGGGCATATAATGAGAAAAAAAGGCTTGGAAAATTTGAAACTCACAAGACAGATTGAAGGCAAGTGGGCAGAGAAAAGTAACCCATAACTTACCTAACGATCTTGAGTAAATGGATGTTGGAACACAGTTGAGGAGAGATAACAAAAAGACAAAATTTATTAAGAGATACAAATGAGAGGAAAATGTGGAGAGACATGATCGCCAATATCCTGAAGGGATACGGCCCATAAAAGAAGAAGCATGAAATTGGTATGTAAACATTGGATTGATTGGTAGATTCGTTTTTTACTGTTTACCAAACCTTTGCAGTTTATTTTATAGCTAGAAAATATTTTTAGATTGTAAGAATTTTTTTGAGATAATAATCGTTTCGTGTGATAAGTTTTACAAATCAACCAAAGGGCGGGGCAGAATAGATGAAATCATACATTTTCTAAGTATACTTGCACGTAAACGAATATAAGAAACCCAATAGGACTTGGAAATCAGATTTCGGATTAACAATTCCGAGCCATTATCCATTACACCACCCACACATGCAAGCTTACAGCACCTGGTATTCCCAAGCGGTCACCCATCTAGATACTGACCAGTCTTGAAGATGTTTAACTTCGGTGATCGTAGGGAAGCAGTTTTTCAATGTGACCATAAGTTCATATACATGTCAGATGCACCGGGACATAAACATAAAATTGAAAATGAAATTTGATGCACAGTAAATTCGAGGAGAAACCACGGCTTCTGTCTCTAACAGCTGACTGAGTAAGCCCATGGAATTATTTTTGTCAAGGACATTTAGCGTGTTATTGAACTCTACTTGTTCAACAGCCAGACAGCCTGATTTTCTCTATCTTCTCTATTTGCATATGTCTGTCATATTCACAGTGATCGAGTGTATAAAATTTTACTTAATAATTATCTTACTCGGAGAGTATGCAAAACTGTAAGAAAATTGATTCAATAACTGAACCTCAGATAAAGCTTGGAATCAGACGCTTAAAAATTGAGCAGTAATCTTTTGAAAGAGATCACGTTTTGAAAAGCCTTTAAATAGCAGAACACACGGAAATCTGTGCGTGCTGTAATTAAGGCAAATCGGCGATTGATTTCCAGAATATTGAAGATTTGGGAAATCCACGAGTAACTGTTTTAGAGTTTGTGACGATCAGTTGGTTAAGTTTGTTTCGTGGCATATCAACCCGTATGGGTCATTTAATCCCAAAATTTAAATAATCTGAACATATTGTTCACTATTTTGGTTTCAAGTAAATATATTTTGAAAACAATTGGACGCCTACAACTACAGATAAAATGTATTGCTGGTCATTTTACGACAAAAAATTGTGTTTGTTTTAGCGGCTTATCAACTCCTTATGGGTCAGTTAATGCCAAAATTTAATTATCTTGGTAACATTATTAATTCCCTCTAAAATATGTTGCTGGTATTTATACTATCAAAATATATTTTTAAACTTTCATAGTGTTTTGACCACAGTTTGGGAGTTAACTATTTTGCCCATAGCTGGGACCCTAGCAAGTACTATGACCCCGGAACAACAATTAAGAGATGGTTCCACGCTCCTCAAAATCTACGATCTCCCGATCAGAGGTCGTGTTGATGTAGATTATTGTAATACCCATGACTATGTTCGTGACGAAGCATTATTATTCACATCAAACATATATTAACAAAAGTTGCCCAGGGCTCCTGCCAGAAGAGCGGAAAAGGTTTGTCTGCAAGCCCTGGCAATAAATCCTATATTTTCAGAGAGTCGATGAGTCGCATATCTAGAGACTTCGTTCTGAAATCAAATCGGTGTCTTCCTTAGAGATGTGGCTGGGAAGTCTATACCAGAAAAGGTGAGAAAAATTGGAAACAAAGCCAACGCAATATTGACATTATTATTATTATTATTTTTTTTTTTTTTGTTGTTCAGGGTGGTATTTCCCACCGGTTACATTCCTCCTGAACAAGCAATAAATGTAATAATCGATCGTAATTCCACGCCATTTGTGGGAAGCAGAAAGTGGAAAACGGTGGTAGCTTTGAGCTTTTTTTAATAATCATTTAATCCAAGCAAGACAATAAAGCCACTAAGACGCAAGGGGGTTACTAATTGTGAAAGAATATGAGAAAAAGAACAATAAAAGAACAGGAATTACGAAGACAGAAGATAGCGATTGACATTGCATTTAAATTTTTGAAGATGACTAGAAAGCAAGAAACAGAAAGAGAGTTTCAAAACTGCGAAGTGCGAAAGAAGAAACTGTTAGCATAGAACTTACGGTTACATTTAGCCATGTCATCTATAAAATTATGAGACCTAACCGCCAGTCTAGTACTGCGTCCAAATTCATAAAGTCTACGTACAAAAGAGGAAAATACTTCAGAACAATTATCATGAAAGTATTTATAGAAACGGAACAGAGAAGCTACATTACGGGGATGGAAAGTAACTGAAACCGTGATACTATATCAGGACCGATAACATTGCATATTCTTTATTTTCTGAAGATTCTCAAAATACATATAGAAACATCGGATCAGATACGATAGTAATATTGACGAACGATTGACTTACGTATGTTTAAGATAGATTCTTGCCCTGTCGGCTGGGGCTTCAGAAAAACACCAACTGCACCTCTGCAGAGGGGTAAAACCCCCTCCAATGAGGCATCCTGGGTATGACGATAAACTACATCTGGCAGCAAGGCCTCTGGTCAGGAGGTTTTGAGGAGCGTGGAAACAGCTCTTAATTGCTGGTGTTTCCAAGACCACCTTGACCCCGGTTGGTAGCATCTGTGAGTCCCAGCTGCGGTCAAAGAGTTAACCGCCAAACTGGGGGTCAAAACTAAGTGTGAAAATAAGTTTTAATACCAACATTACATTTTTTAAGAAAAAATTATTACCAACGATACCTTATCAGCAGGATATTTTTGAAAAAGAAAATACTAGCAATAAAAATCTTATCAGCATTAAATAAGCCATTGAGGTTGATATGCCGTAAAACAAAACCAAATAAACAAGATAGATTCTGGCGATAAAAAAGGACGACACAGTAAACCAACTTTCATAGCAGCAGATATTATTTAATATGATCTTTCCACTTCATGTCAATGGAAAAAAAACTTGCTCGATCTCTGGCATCTTAATTACAAAAAAGTGTCTGACTATTCTTCGTTTTCACGGAAGACGACATGTCTATTCCCAACAAGAGCAACACCTTCCTGAAAACTACAGAAAACTTATCAAAATATCTCGATCGAGTAAACTGAGAGAATGCGAGTCATGATGACCACAATAATACCGGTGCCCTCCGTCTGGTCAAGAATAGGTTGGAAATGTGCACAGCCAAATCCCTGGCATTATCAAAATACTAGAAGTCTTAAAGATCGTCCTCATTAGTACCACACAAATACTTAATAGGTTTCTATTCATCGAATAAATATATTAAAAAAAATAATAATAGGTTAGTTTTCCAGATTCGCCATTTAATCTGATTGCACATTTTACAGTATATAAATTGTATATGTGTATTCACATACACATATTAATGAAACGTTAAAGTAATATATACAATCATAGACTATCATGCAATCAAAATAAAAGATGTGAGGCATTTCTAAGACATATCCAACCAACTGTATCAACAAGCATGATATACTGAGTGATGCTTGAGGTTTCAGATTGAAATTTAGAGGCAGTTCTTAAAACAAATAAGCAAACTTAAGCAACAACAAAAACAACAATAATAATAATAATAATAATAAGGTTGGAAAAGATTGCAGTAAGGTTGGAAAAGATTGCAGTATACTAATTAAAGGGATTCCTGGAAGTCCATGCCCCAAGGAGATACAAAAAATTGTTCTGACAAGTAAAGCCCACACTTTACGAAGGGCTTTATCTATGTAATTTTTTTTGTCAGTGGAAAGTGTCATGATGCCATTTTTAACCTTAGGTCCCTGGGCGGGACACGGAAAGAAATGTGTAAACGCCAGAAATCAAAGAAAATAATAATAATAATAATAATAATAATAATAATCTGTTGAATCATAAGTAATTTCCGTTTTTGAGAACAAATTGTAATGGCGAATGTATAAACCTAATTCCTCATCAGCAGTTAAGAATAAATTTGGAGTACACTCACAATTCTTTGCTTTTTTGAACTGCAGTGTACACCGTGGATAAAAGGAGAAATGCTGTCCATGATATCGCAAGGCTACATACAGCTGAAATAACAGAGGATTTTTTTTTTAAATTTGGTTTGTCTGTTGTACCTCATCTGCCATATTCACCTGAAACCACCCGTTTAATACATTTTATAATCACTGAAAAACGCTTTGATGAGGAATTCTCTAATGAAAACCAGATTCAAGTGTTGGCCAAAATCCTTCTTTTCGCTTCAAAACTTTGGGAATTTTACTCAAAATTGTATCAAAGAGCTGCTTGAGGAGTGGCAACAAGCCATTACATATAATCGATAAAATAGAATTGTATTGTATTTTCAGATTTATAAAACAAATGGAGTCTTTATGATTCAAATATTCGTGATAATAATTGTTATGATGATGATGATGATGATGATGATGATGATGTCTAACAAATAAAATAAAGAGACTGGAGACAATTGTGATGTTAACAATAATGTTGATAATGAAGATGGTAATTTATCTAAATTCTCACTCGCGGTAACCATTGTCAAGATTATTTTATCATTTCGGTAGCCAGCCTTATTTCATTACGACTTAGGTGAAGCCTTTAAATTCTCGCGCGAAACACGAAAGACAAAATCAAAAATTAAAGGGACATTGCGAATCAGACACGATACGCTATTCAGTTACAGTATAAGGTTCCAATCAAATAATCAGCCGCTTCATCAATTTTCCCACAAGTGCACGCGTGCGAGCGGATGTGCGGCCGAAAGACCAAAAAGCGGCAATGACACTCGTTCTTCTTAATTAACCCGCCCGATTAATTAACTCTGAAAACATCCATTAAATAATTAACCCGAGCCATTACGTCAATTTCATACTTTTCGAGCGAATAATTAGTTCGCGCCAAAACCTTTGCTTCCATCGCCCTTTCTGTCACCATCCCCATACGATCACAATTTTTCTCGCTATTGTATATATGACTTGACTCAGGCCTCTCTCGGCCTCTATTCGACAATTTCTTTTTGTTAAAACATTTGGCTTTCTCTCCTCCTCTATTCCTCGATCTTTATATTTCACAATCTGTTTTAAAGCCATCCGCATTTTTCTATCAGGTTCTGTTTTTTCTTGGTTTGTTTAATAACATATGAACTCCTTATGAGTCATTTAATGGCGAAATTTAATTTTCTTAGGAGCTTTGAAGTAATAAAAATATGATATATAATTCTGCTTTCACAACTGAATACATGGTAGATGTTACTCAGATTTTTTTTTCATATTCATGTTTGTGTGGACAAAATTACTAAAAGCGGTGATATATGTGTTTCATGTTGTAGTTTTGTTGAATTTATATTTTGGAATTTAGTTTGATTTCAGTATCTGTCTATATTTCTCAGATGAGGTACACTATTTACATTATTCGGACTATTGCCTTCATCTCTGTCGCCATGTTTATCACAACGTTTCGGCGGTTGTACGCTC